AATTAGCAGAGTGTCTTTTATAGCAAATTAGTTTTTCTGCTATACATACACTAGTTGCTACAGATAGTAAACAGATTGTAATAGGAGCAGGTGTGCCCTTTTGTGTAAAGTTGGTGTCTATATGTAATTTTAGCTTCTTAATACAGGGGTGTGTTTGTATGTAATGTTTGGATGTAGTGTTGGCTTTTAAACATGGATGTACATTTGTGAGTAGTATTGGTGTTTGAATTCATGTTTTTTGTGTGTAATGTTTGTTTGTATTGTGTGTGTTTGCATGTTAGTGTTTGATTGCTGGGGTGTATGCACATACACTGCTACATACATATTTACACATATAGACACATTGACACACACACTCATATACAAACTGACACATACACACAGACAAATATACACACCATGACACATATATTCAAACACTGACACACTGATACACATACTGAAACAGATACAAACCCTGGCACATATACACACTGAGATACACACAAACACTGGCACATACGCAAACACTCTGATACGCACACTGATACAGATACAAACACTGGCGCACACACACACACACTGACACAGATGTACACACTATCACACACACACTGATGCACAGATACAGTGATGCACAGTCACACACACACACACACAGGCACATACACACACACTCAGATGCACACACTGGACACACACACCAAGATGCACACACTGAAACACACACCCAGATGCACACACTGAAACACACACCCAGATGCACACACTGAAACACACACTCAGATGCACACACTGACACACTCAGATGCACACACTGACACACTCAGATGCACACATACACATTGACACACAGATACAAATTGGCACACACTGGCACATACACAGTGACAGGCAGATACGCACACACATTGACACAGATACACACTCTGGCACATACGCACACAATTTCACATACATGAACACATACGCATTAAAATGTTTGTATTTGCAGCCACCCTCCTGTTAGCTTACCTTGGTGTCCAGGAGGGTGGCTTGCTTGGAGGTCTGGTCCTATCTGAGGTTGATGGGAGCGCAGGTGCAGCAGCAGCTCACTCCCAGCCTCTCCTCTGTCTCCATGTGGTGTGCTGCCTCCAGCCTGGTGATCACTCAGTGCACTCCTCCCAGGCGTCTGTTTCGCTAATGAGGCTGGGAGAAAGTGCTGTCACTTCCTCCCAGTCCGCCGATAGTGCAGGGGCCCAGTCAGGCTCTTAGTGACCAGACCGTTTTTCAATTTTCTTACTGTTCAGGACCAGGTCTGTTTTTACATTTCTGTGGTGTTTGTGTTTAGCTGTAATTTTACTCTTACTCATTTACTGTACCCACACGTTATATGCGTTTTTATCGCCATTAAATGGTCTTTCTAAAGATACCATTCATTTCATCATATCATATAAATTACTATAAAATAATTATATGAAAATATTTTAAAAAACACACCTTTTCTAACGTTGACCCCCAAAATCTGTTGCGTCTCTACAACCACCAAAAAACACCCATGCTAACTAGTTTATAAATTTTGTCCTGAGTTTAGAAATACCCAACGTTAACATGTTCTTAGCTTTTTTTGAAAGTTATAGGGCAATAAGTACAAGTAGCACTTTGCTATTTCCAAAGCATTTATTTTCAACATTAACGCAATTACATTGTAACACTGATATCTGTCAGGAATCCCTGAATAACCCTTCACATGTTTATATTTTTTAAAAGAAAACAACCTAAGGTATTACACTTGGGGCATTTTGACTCTCTTCATGCAACCATTTTACCATCAATCTATGCCAAATTAAAAAAAAATAATAATAATAATTGGTGATTTCAACACGCATAGCAGTTTAAGAATACATGTACTGGGAACTTTAAGGGTTACTACCAAAGAACACCCCAATATGTGTTCAGCAACATCTCCTGAGTACAGTGATACCACCCATGTATAGGTGTGTTGGATTCTCAGACCTTATTTGGAGGATGCCTGTTCCAGTTTTCCAACTTTGAGTTTTCACAGCTGGTCATCATGCACCCATGTCCTATTTTGGAAATTTTTGAAGTCGGCCAATGTAATTTACCCTCATCAAACCATATATTTTTTAAAAGTAGACAACCCACGGTATTCAAAATGGGATATGTCCACTCTTTTTTTCGTAGCCACTGTAGCCGAAAGGATCCTCACAAACGACTTTTATTCTCTTTATTAGCTGCCCGTACACACCGCTGTTACAGTACTGTGTTTTACCCTAGCTCTTTTATGTGGTTCTGCTTTGTCCGTTCGGGAGACTTCATACGAACGGAATTAATTTGTCTCCCCCGAACGAGGACCACCCCTGTGCCCCATTAGAACGTTGATACCATTCATTTAGGTGTGAAACCGCAAGGGAAGCATTTAATGAGCACTTCCCCCAAACGAGGGCAGCGGTACTCGGTTGTCTAGTGCCTGGAACCCTTTTTCGGGTAGGCACTTGCACAAACACCGGTAAACTTTCGACCGCTGCCCGTTCCTGTTCTCGACCACCTACATGAGCGGCGTTCAGGATATATGAAGTACTGAACAAGGGGAGCATTCGTATCATGAAAACAAGAGATTCCCTTGCATGGTTTTCGCACAGGATCCTCACAGACAGAGACTGGCCAGGACACCTATTCCCCTGGAACTATTTTGGGCTACCACCTCGTGTCTTGCCGGTCAAATCTTCCACACGATGCCATTCCTGTTCTACCACACCGATCTGTGTGATACTTGGATATGTGGGTCACTCAGATCAGGGCTATCGGGGAATGTGGGGTTCCTATGCATGGTTGGGGTACAGGATATTTTGTGGATTTTCTGTTCCTGGGAGATAATTAAATTAGAGGAGTTTACTCGGGCAATTATCTCTCAGGCACAGAGGGTCTTGGGATTGAATCCCCTGTATTTTCTGCCTGTGAGACCCCTTGCATGGGAGATGGCATAAAAGCAGTGTATTTGTGAATAAAATTCAGTTATACCTCCAGAGCTGAGTGTCGTCCAGTTGGTGGGAGATCCTTGGATTATTTTGCTTGTTCCTGAGTGTGTTTTGGAGTAACCAGCAGTGGAGAGTCCCTGCTAGGAGTAGGGCTCCGCTACAGCCACTTAGTCACAAACCCTGGCCAAAATTAGCCTTTTAGATTAGTATTTTTTACACACAAACTGCCATTTCACTGATATCAGCATAATACATTTTACTGCTCTAAAACACTCATATTTATGTAGAGTAATGTCTCACGAGTACCACAGTACCCCTCAAGTATGGGTTTTATGGTGATTTGGAAAGTTACAGGGTGCAACATAATATTTGCCAAGTTCTATTTTTGTAAATTGCTGTTTGCCAGATTGGCTATGTTGCCTTTGAGACGGTTTGGCAGCCCAGAAATGAAAATTAACCCCACTATGACATACCATTTGAAAAAGTAGACATCCCAGGGTATTCAAAATGGGGTATGTCCAGTCTTTTGTAGTAGCCACTTAGTCAAAAACACTGGCCAAAGATAGAATTTATATTGTTTTGTGTTAAAAATGCAAAAAACTAATATGAAAGCTAACGTTATACTACAAAGGCGTTGGTAATGTCGGTCTTACTGAGCCAGGCTCCAACCCCTGCTTGTATGATAGCGGTAATGGCGTGATCTATGGTGGTGTATTGCAGAGAGAATTCTTTAGAGGGTATGAGGGAATTAAGACTGGGGTTGGCCGATGAGTGGGGTGCCGATAAGTCAATGATGAGTCTCTGTTTTTGGGAAGATTTCCCTGTGACAATACCAATGGGATTGGTGCGCCATTCTATGAATGGAGGAGTTTTGAAAGGCCCCAATACGAAGCCCTCATCCACTTCTTGGTCTATGAGGGTGTCAACCGCTGTGGGGTTGTGTTGGGTGGATTGTAGCTTAGGGCATTCCAGAGTTCCGGCTGGTATGTGTAGGATACCTGTACGGAAGCCTTCTGTTAAACCAGAGATTAGAAAGTCTACTAGGTGTCTACATGGGTGCTGAGACATAAATGCCGTGAATACTGGCATATTAATGGACGTTAGGTAAGGCTTGGAATATATTTTATTTGGACACATGGTCTTTGCATGTGCCCTAAAACATTTTGAACAGACATGCAATAGTCTACATCCACTGTAATTACAAGACCCAACATTGAAATTATTACATATCTGGGACTTGCCCAGAAACTTGATTGGGCGTCCCAGTTTGTCTCTTGACAACTTCCCTGGATCCCCAGAGGAACTAGCTCCTTGCGTGGAGGCATGTTTGTCCGCCGTGTTGGGACAAAAATCTTTAGTATGGGCTGTGGCGGAGCAGTATGCACAAGCCGGTGTTCTTAGACCTGCAAAGTGTCTGCAAAAAATGACGGTATCAATACTTCCCCAGTTGGATCGTGTTCCGTACTGGGAGAAGGCTCCAGACACTTTTGCAGAAAAAGACCTATGGTAGTCATAGAAGGCTGAACCACCATATTTGTTGCCCAGGTCTACCAGCTTGTGCATATAGAGATCAAACTCCTCTCTTCTGTTGGGATAGACCGCACAGATGACATCCCTGTAAATACCAAAAGCTAGTACAAATTCAGGGATAGTCAGTTTCCTGTTCAGGCGGGCATCCCTAGATCTGACAACAACAGATATATCATCATAAGCATACGTCTTATTCTCAACAATATCCTGGGAGGCAATCAACAGGGAAGTCAGGTTGACGTCTTTTATTTCCAGGATATCTCTTTTAATGTGCTCAGGTATCATATGAGCCGGGCTAACTTCCTGATCATCCAGGGTGATGGCTGGAGCAACTAATGGCAAGTCGGCTGGTGCTTGTGAAGCAGCAGCGGGTGGCCCTGCTAGAGTAAGGGCTGTGGTGACCGACTCAAGTTTCTCCAGCCTGGAGTTGACCTTGCTCATGGATGCTATGAGTGAGGATAACATGGCATGTATGTCTCCTGGGTTGGACTGGCTAGGTCCTTCCCCGGCATCCATGTTATTTGTAGATGTGCGTTTGAAAAGTTCTGCTTTCCTTGCTGTAGCGGGGTAGGGGATTTGTCGTCTCCTCAATTCCGTGGTTATACACGGGATCGTCCAGGATCTGATCGATGCTGGACTAGCTAGCTCTCCTCCTTGTGTGGGAGTGACAGCTCTAGGCGGGGTGCTAGGCAGGGAGAAATCCTCTACCCCCTTCCTGAGACATACTATAAATAAAACAATTAATTAGTATATGAAACCACCAAATTGTACTGGCAGGCTAGCTAGGCCCGATGGCGAAACATTATACTTGTTTGGTGACAGATGAGGCCCTGCTAATTGCCAAGCGGCTTGAGAGGCTCTATCTATGCGTTGGCGCGAGGGGTTATTGAGGCCACTCGACGTAGTGGCAGGAGTTTTAGGTCTCTCTGTGACTGTAAGACGGAAAACAGAGGAAGGGAGTGACAGGTGAGGCCCTCTCTATGCAACATACGAGGCGGCTAGCTAACGTGTGGCCCGATGGGTGTTTGCCTCTGAAACGTTTGAGTCGGGGTGTTGGCCTCGCGGGACCACTAACTGATGGCGACTGCCAAGATGGCGTAAATACCTATTGGGAAGCCTGTGACCCTATTGCCATTACTCTAACCTAGGGGGACGAAATGAAATGTATGGTAGAATACCATATGAGCAGGTGTACGTAACTGGTAGTATGACAAATTTACAGGAATAAACCGTGTGGAGCAAATATATATATATATATAAGCTTGACAGCCTGAAATGGGTAAAAGAGAGTAGTATGATGAGTGTGGATTGTTGGAAAGAAAACAGACTTATAGCCTGTAGCAGCAATGTTTTTATGGTTTGCTGGCGTATGATTGAGAATAAAATGTTGATACCATGGGAATAGATATGAGTTACTCAGAAATGTTGTCATGCTTAAATAAGACATCTGAGGGAGGCCGTGGCCTATGTACAAACAACATATGTGTTATATAATAATGGTGTGTAAAGGAAACATAAAATGTAGGTTATATATATGTGTATATTACTGTGTAGGAAACGTATGATTGGTAGGATCAGTACGTGTGATTCAACCCGAGTATGCATGAAAAGGAATTAAAGTCTTATGTGTCATGGTCATAACAAAGAAATGAGGCCTGTAACGTAGGCTGAGTTAATTGAAATGAAATGGATAATTATGAAAACTCCTGTAAGCGTGGGAGTTCAATGATCCATACAGAAATGTAGCTGGTTTAATAGAAAAGAACATGGATGAGGGAGGCCATGGCCTATTTTACACAGCGTTATGTGTGATATGTAATAGAATAACAAAAAGGGGCAGGGATACACAAAATGCTTAAAGTGATGCAAAGTGATGTGTATATATATGATATATCTGTATTGAAAAAGACGTATGATTGGTTGGATCAGTACGTGATTTAACCTGAGAATTTATTGCTTGTAAAAGGAAACTGTATCCTTTTGTATGTGTCGTAGTTATAACACAGAAATGAGGCCTGTAATGTAGGCTGAGTCCATTTGGATGAATGGATAAGTAAGGCAGACCCCTGAAAGCGTGGGAGTCAAAATGATCCATACAGATAAGTGAGCTTGGTTTCTATGGACATAATACAAAACTGAAACCTTTAAATAGTAATAGAAATAATCTGTCTATTTAAACAAGCAATTCGTTAACCGAATGTTATATACATGAAATGGTGAATATAATCCACGAAAGGATTATGCGTAATACATAGAAATAAAACCAAAACCCAATGTGAGGGAAAACAGAAGTTGGAACGAATTGTTTAAACATATGAATTTATGCGAACCACAAGCGTGTTTGAGCGTATCTTGAAAAATTGCCGAATGGCAAAACAACCGAAATGATAATCCGTTTCAATGTAACATGGAATAGTTATGTGTGAAATGACTATTTATACGAATATACTGTTCAGCCGAATGACCGTATGAATGAAAACCGCGAACGGCTTGTACAATTCGTGACATAACAGGGGAAAAAACGTAAAGCGAGGACCCGTGCTGTACCGTACGCCGTGGGAACCGGTCCTGGCTTGAAAGGTAGGTCTAACTTACAGTTTAGGAGTCCCTGGGACGCGATCTACGACGATGACTGGGGTCAGAAGCTGGACGGACGGAAAAGGCCTGAACAGGATTCCTGGACACCGCTTGCCGCGGAAAAACCTTATGGATACTGAAAAAACAAGATGGCGTCTGAGAGAACCCGGAAGTGGATCCTCATTCAACGCTGACCTCGAACGGTAAGGAGCCAGGTAAGGGGAGTGCCTTAAGTAGGCTAGGGGTAGCAAACCAGCACCTCCCACACATCCAGGCAAAATTGCCTTAAAATATATAATATATATATATATAATATATATATATATATATATAATTTACAATTTCATAGACCTAGAAAAACCAAATACCACCACATAGTTCAGCTTCTAGATAAAAGGAAATGTATAATAAAAATGGGTTTTATCGATAAAACACTCACCAACATTTGTAACCCAAATAAAATAGGGAACAATGTCAATAAAAAAAAATATACCGGTACGCATTTCACCACTAGATGTGGCTTCCTCAGCCGGATCAGCGTTATGAGAGTCCTTGGTTCCCAGCTTCTGTTTATTTACCCTCCTAATTGGGGAATCCTCTACATCTGTGAATTCTACGTGTTACGAACGCTGGTGTAGTATATAACCTGTTCGCCTATTCCTCCTGAACAGCTGAGCCTGAGTGATTTATAGCTGCAGTTCGGGTGTCGATATGAATAGTTTCAGACAAATGCAGCTTCCAAGTAGTTTCTCCCCAGCAAGTAAATGGTTACCCAAACATGAACCTAGACTTCATGAAGCGTACAACAGAAATGAATTTTAATGGTGCCACACTGGCTTTTATGCACTCCCACATGGACCTTGTGGGGGACAGGGACACAAAGGTTACAGCCAATAATATTACAGTGACAAAGATGAACACTCCCAATGCAAACAGACAATCCCCTCCTCTCTACCTGTGAGAGTCAGCTAACTTGGTAACTCAATTATCTCCAGGCAGTAAAAACATATTTTCCCCAAAACTTGGAAAGTACCCTAAAACACAAAGTATCCCCCCAAAAATCACATCCCCTGATAGCCCTGATCTGGGTGACCAACATATCCAAAAATCACCCAGATCAGTTCAGGGGTTCTCAAATTTATTGAAGTCCCATTTGACAAACCGACCGCACATGAGACTCCTGCCCAAAACAGTTCCATGAATTTAGACTGTGCGGCCGGTCTATTTCGAAAAGTAATAAAAATTTAATAAATGCACAAACGGAGCCCCCTGACTCGTAGGAGCGATTGTTCCCCTGGTCGTGGGAACCAAACTACCGAACAGCGCTCTCCTGGCTGTTCGGGAAAAGGAAGCAGGTGTTCGTATGGTTTGACCGGTGTTTGGGAAGTCGAGTGTCCGATTTTAGTTCCATACACTCAATGACCAAGTCCTGCTGCCTCCTTTCGTGCAAACAAGATGGCCGCTGTTTTCTCTCGCACATGGCGTTTGGCTTTACAGACTGCAGCCACACAGGGAGAATGCTTAATCAACAGTTTTCTTTGAAGATAATGAGCCAGGGGGGTGGTTGGATTTCGGTGGTTACAGCAACTGAACCAATAATACATCAAAAATCTCGAATGGCAATAAAAGTCTCAAATAACATGCTATTTTCTTCATACTACGTAACTACCACGAGGTAGTACATAACCTATCTCCATGGTGAGAAGTCAAACAACCCGGCGGACACTTTCACCTGGAGTGGCGTCGGGTTTAAATTCTCCTGAACTGTTACGTTACTTCCTTGCGTTCCTAGCTCCACTCTCGGAAAGTGACATCAGCAGAATTCTCGTCTTATGCAGTCTGACAGTTACTCTTCATTCTGGGTTTCTGTCCTTAATATTGTAACCATTTCTTCTGACGTTAACTTAATGGAACGTTGTTATCCAGCTTTCTAGTGTAATCCATCAAGTAAACCCACAAGTGTCCCTCAATAAATAAACATTGAAAACAACAATATAAAAAAGCGTTAATCACGCACATATTTATGAATTATCTAAAATAATAAATTTTATTAATATTAAAGTGATTAATCACCCATAGTGATAAACTTTAGTAAGAATAAGAGGTCTGTAATAGTAATTGAGATAATTCATTAAAGTGGTAGTAATTCTCCTTTGTACAAATCTAAAAATTGTATAAAGATTAAATATGGATGATCCATTTACAGAATAATTATACAGTGCAGGAGGTAGAAGGCGCTTTATTCTCTTTCTTTTCCGGTTCCAATATACACTTACTTAATATCTAAATGGGTGAACAGTAAAATTAAATATAAATATAAAAAGCTATGTGAAAATAAAATATATATAAAAAGGGCATAGGTCAAAATCACAGTTCAATCCATATGGAATAAGATTTTAAAAATCCATTCCATTTCCACTTGTCCCAATTTTTTTTCCGTAAAATCTCCTCCTCTCCAATTTCTATCCACCTTTTTCACTCCTAAAAATATAAGGCCTTTTGCATCCTGATGATGGTGCTGTTTAAAATGATAGGAGACACTGTGTTTCTCAAATCCCAAGTTAATATTATGTGTATGTTCTCCTTTTCGCAATGGTCTAGTAGTGCGGCCTATATATTTCAAACCGCAGGGGCATTTTAACAAATATTTTTTTAGTAGCATGTTATGAATTATTTTATGGGTATAGTTTTACCCTCTTTATTGTCAATCATCTTAATGATTATTTTCTTATTGCCTGAACTTTTTTTTTTTACACGCTGAACATTGGCCACAGCCATAAAAACCTTTTTCAGAGCGAGACCAAACACAACTAAAAATGGTAACCCGACTCCATACCAGCGACCAAAAACACACTCCCACACCAGAGAAAATCATGGGACGAAGGCATAAAAAATCCCGCCTGCCAGAGATGGCCAAACAAACCTACATCAGGCTCTCATTCGAGAGGCCCATACAACTGGCCCAAAACCAGAGGCTCATAGCAAAGAAGAGGCTTCAGAGGACTCTCAAGATGACAGGGAGAGACTCGTCTCTCCACCCGCAGGGGCCCCCAATACCGGGGGTTAGAGGAAGACTCCTCTCCGGTGACCAAGAGAGACATCAGGGGTCTCCTGCAAGAAATGAGGGAGGTTTGGAAAGCCAGACCTCAAAGAAACTTGGAAGGAGATGGGGGCCCTCCAGACAAGGATCACTGAGGTGGAGAATAGAGAAGGTGGTAGGGATCGCACCCTACAGGACAGGCACGGCACTGGAGGTGAGGCACATAAAGAGAAATGTCCGCCTCCGAGGCATCCCGGAAGGCGTCAGTGGAGAAGCCATACTGCCATATATCCAGAGACTGTTTACCACAATAGGCATCCAAGGCGGTAAAGACTTAGGTACACTGCTTTCCGCTTTTCGAATCCGGAAGGCAATGGCGGCCACAGACGGAGCACCCAGAGACATTATAGTCGTGACTAGGGATGTGGCGATGCGAACCGCGATACTGTCACATTCCAGGGAACTACCCAACATAAATTTGAGGGACATACTATGGCTATCCATGGAGATATCCCTTTTGCGGCACTGCTGATGAGAAGACAACGTGCACCAATAGCAAAACAGCTCCGGGAGGCAACGATCCGCTACAGATGGGGAACGGACGGATCACTGCAGGTCCAGAAAGGGGACCAGACTCTCACTCTAACCTCGGCAGATGATCAAGTTCCGTTCCTCCAGCGACTAAATGTGCCCAACAGAGACGCTACCCAGACTCAATATGGAAACATAAAAGCAAAGCAGAGGTGTAGAAGTGGACTAGCACTGCCAAAACAGAACCCTACCTGATACCCCCAGGAACACGCAAGCACCAACACATTCTGTAGTAGAAGCTACTCCCCTCCTCCCCCCTTGACACCCCCTGGAAAGGGGAACAGATATGACACCTCCTAATAGGCAACCCCCCTCCTCCTCTCTACATAACCATGATTGGTTCCAGACGTACTGCTGGCCCACCCTCCACTCCCTTTTTTCAACTTTATCTAAGGTAGGTCCACTTTATTTACAGGCACACCTGAACCGACTTTGCTTATTAAAGGTAGATAACTTTATCTCTATTTCATTTCATTACTGAAATGGCCCCAAACACAAATGATATATGTATAAAATACACTGCTTAAAAAAATAAAGGGAACACTTAAACAACACAATGTAACTCCAAGTCAATCACACTTCTGTGAAATCAAACTGTCCACTTAGGAAGCAACACTGGGTGACAATCAATTTCACATGCTGTTGTGCAAATGGGATAGATAACAGGTGGAAATTATAGGCAGTTAGCAAGACACCCCCAATGAAGGAGTGGTTCTGCACTTCTCAGTTCCTATGCTTCCTGGCTGATGTATTGGTCACTTTTGAATGATGGCAGTGCTTTCACTCTAGTGGTAGCATGAGACGGAGTCTAAAACCCACACAACTGGCTTAGGTAGTGCAGCTCATCCAGGATGGCACATCAATGCGAGCTGTGGTAAGAAGGTTTGCTGTGTCTGTCAGCGTAGTGTCCAGAGCATGGAGGCGCTACAAGGAGACAGGCCAATACATCAGGAGACGTGGAGGAGGCCGTAGGAGGGCAACAACCCAGCAGCAGGACCGCTACCTCCGCCTTTGTGCATTGAGGAACAGGAGGAGCACTGCCAGAGCCCTGCAAAATGACCTCCAGCAAGCCACAAATGTGCATGTGTCTGCTCAAACGGTCAGAAATAGACTCCATGAGGGTGGTATGAGGGCCCGACATTGTGCTTACAGCAAGATTGGCAAATTCAACCTCGGCTCCCTGTGCTCTTCACAGATGAAAGCAAGTTCACACTGAGTACATGTGACAGACGTGACAGAGTCTGGAGATGCCGTGGAGAACGTTCTGCTGCCTGCAACATCCTCCAGCATGGCCGGTTTGGCAGTGGGTCCGTAATGGTGTGGGGTGGCATTTCTTTGGGGGGCCTCACAGCCCTCCATGTGCTCGCCAGAGGTAGCCTGACTGCCATTAGGTACCGAGATGGGATCCTCAGACCTCTTGTGAGACCATATGCTGGTGCGGTTGGCCCTGGGTTCCTCCTAATGCAAGACAATGCTAAACCTCATGTGGCTGGAGTGTGTCAGATGTTCCTGCAAGACGAAGGCATTGATGCTATGGAGTGGCCCACCCATTCCCCAGACCTGAGTCCAATTGACCACATCTGGGACATCATGTCTCGCTCCATCCACCAACGTCATGTTGCACCACAGACTGTCCAGGAGTTGGCAGATGCTTTAGTCCAGGTCTGGGAGGAGATCCCTCAAGAGACCATTCGCCACCTCATCAGGAGCATGCACAGGCATTGTAGAGAGGTCATACAGGCACGTGGAGGCCACACACACTACTGAACCTCATTTTGACTTGTTTTAAGGACATTACATCAAAGTTGGATCAGCCTGTAGTGTTTTTTCCACTTTAATTTTGAGTCTGACTCCAAATCCAAACCTCCATGGGTTGAAAAATTTGATTTCCATTTTTTAATTTTTGTATGATTTTATTGTCAGCACATTCAACTATGTAAAGAACAAAGTATTTCAGAGGAATATTTAATTAATTCAGATCAAGGATGTTATTTTTGTGTTCCGTTTATTTTTTTGAGCAGAGTGTGTGTGTGTGTGTGTGTGTGTGTGTGTGTGTATGTATATGTATATATAATTTTTTTTTTAACTTTATTTACATTTTAGGAGTCAGGGGGAATGCCTGATTGTTCGGAAAGTCCCCCTGCTGGCAGCTCCATATACTGCTATTGCGGCCATGTGATCATGGTGATCACGTGGCCCTGGAGTGCCGGAGAGGACGGAGCTGCTGCAGAGGGACTGCTGGGGTCTCGGGCAGTTTCCCCCGATCGGTATCGCCGGTCCAGGTAAGTACATGGGTACAAATTGCCACGGACGTGCAGAGTACATCGGCCGTGGAACACTAATTGGGAAACGCTGCACTAGACTAATAATAATTACACAAAGCAAGCTTTACTTGTATCTGACTGGATGTTTCATTATCAGCCTTGTGTTCTTAGATCAGACAAGTAGAAACTAGCTTGAAGGTGCACGCAACGCAAAGAAATGTTAGATTAATGAAGCAGTTTGCCCCTCAAAATTCTCTGCCATTAAATCACTGTTTATGCAGCTCCCCTGTCTGAGACACAGTCTCCTACTCACCTCCTGTAAAGAGAGCTAATGTGAAGTTTCCTTTATTAGACAGACTGTCTAAAAACATTAGATCTCTCTTTACAGGAGGTGTGTGGGGAAACTTTCATTTCTTTTCTCCTGCTCTAATTGCTGCAGCATGCTGTGTGTAATTAAAGTGAAATTAACTTAAATTTCCTTTCTTTACCAAGGTTTTAGATCCTGTAGGTTTGTGAACACACCTAACAAGGGAAAAACACCTGTCCACCATCAAACTGCCTCACCGACTATGGGTAAAGACAGTAAGCGGGTGACAGAGAGAATATTAAATCTCACTCTGGAGATCATCTATCTGCTGACTGGAGAGGTGAGCCATTGTGGGAAATAGACTTTTATTAGCAGAATGAAAAGAGGGTAAAATTGGTGGTCATTTGGAATCTTTTAATGATCACTATGTGGTTGTCTGAGAGGTAGGTGAGATCTTTTGCAAATATTAGGTTGTAAGATTGTTTTGAGCTGCAGATGACTAAGCACATTGACACACTGATGGCTGGTGAATGTTGGAAACATGTTTACAGTGATGCCTAATGATGTGTGTCTCCACATATAGGACTATACTGTGGTAAAAAAGTCTAGTGACCATGTCACACACAGCAGCCATCCTCCTGCCTTTGTACCAGAAGAACTGAAGAAGAACCAGAGTTTGCATTCACAGATAGGTGAAGGAAATCCTACCAAGAAGATCCTGGAACTGACCAACAAGATCCTAAACTCACCGACTGAGGAGGTGAGACTGTTGTGAATGGGACATTATACAGTAAAACCAAGGGATGTGTCTGTATGGTGATTGTATCATTGTGTGTGTATCAGGTTCCTATAAGATGTGAGGATGTCACGGTCTATTTCTCCATGGAGGAGTGGGAGTATATAGAAGGACACAGGGATCTCTACAAGGATGTGATAATGGAGAACCACCATCCCCTCTCCTCTCTGGGTAAGGGGAAGTTAAATAATTGCTGTTGTATTTATATTCCCTATCTTACACATAGACAGCACCAACACAAACATTATCTGTTAATAATGCACATGGCATACAAAGCACCCACCAATAATAAGCCGTACTAAGGGCCGTGGCTTCACATGCTGCACATATATCACAATGCACAGATGTGGTGCTGGAGCTGAGAGCTCTGCTTCAATCATAATGAAATTGGCATTTACAGCAGCAATGGCTCTGTATTATCGAGATTGCTAGCGTATGTTATTTCTGCAAACTGAAACTAGTGATTTCACAATGTATAGATTGTTTCAATAATAAACTAGAAAAGCTACAATTTCTGGGGAAATTGTGTGAAGTGTTCTTGCCTCCACCAAAAGGCTACAACTGGAGTCGGCGGAGTAACTGTTATTATTTATTTATATAGCACATTTAATTCCTACAGTGAAGAGCTTTATACTGTGGGAATCACAAGACCCAGACCTACATTTTGATGCATAGTATGTCTGTGAAATATTAAAAATGAAGGCACAGTGGCAGTTTAGAAATTGCCCTTCAAATTTGAGCTGGCTAGAGTGGAGTTTCAATGAATGTCATTGGACGGCGTGAGTTGCAAACAAATGGTCATATTGTGAAAACTATCAGGACTATGGCTTAGCCATGGACATGTTTAGTGGCAGCAGGGATAGCTGAACGTTTTGATATAAGATTTGTGTAGGTGGGCTTGAAAATGAGTGGTGGCTGTTTAGAAATCACGTCCTGATTTTTCAGCTTTTGCCAGCTCCCACTCTAGTTTTGAACATTTTGCCAGTCTTTCCTATGGGACCAATTTCACCACAAGAACGACGATATTCCGTGAACCATTCGGTGAAACGTTCCACAAAGTAATAGCAATCCAATCGGGAACAATCCGCACGTTTTGGTATATTACTGTCTATGTAGTGTAAAAAGTTAGGGTGGTATATTTGGCTATAATAAGAATAATAATATATATGTGAGATAACATTAAGTGGTCTTGTTATGCAAGAACACTTAACTAAAGATTTGAAAACACCCATCCCATGGTCTCCCAGCTCAGACTCTTATCAGCCAATGTTGGGTACTCTTTCTTGAGGAGGGTAATTTTCTGTCTTGAGTTCCATTTAATAGATTTAAATGGTTTAACAGTATATTGGCCATTTTAAAACTTCATGAACACTGGCCTATTGGCAGAGGTACGTGCTTTCCCCAAGACTATGGGACATACTATTCAGGGAACGGCAGAGAGGAGTCAGTGTATAAAGAGTTCTTCATGTAGGCCTCAGACGCCAACATTCTTATTGCATAGTTTATCTTCAAGCAGATCCATGCACAATAAATTTCACAATATCTTCAGTCTTGCAAATTGACACACAGTGTAATACTGTAGAATACCAATATACACTTGCTCACTTCTTAGAAACCTCTCACCTTCGCCTCTGTCGTGGTTTATTGTATATCTTTTAATCCTTTTATTGATTTGTCAGGAACTTCACAGACACCTCCTTAGACGAATGGTGGCGCTCATAATAGAAATGAATTTGCCCATATGTGCTTTAGATTTTCAGTAGTGCTCTTTATCACCTTCTCTGTGTTTCTAAGCATGTGATTGAGCTAATCTGTTTCTTCCATCACATTAATCCCACAAATATGACATAGACTTTGAAATTTATCTGATCAAAGCAACAACACTATGAAAACACATGTTGTAACCACCGAAGCAATGTATACATAACTGTTTAAACCATACCATTATCTCATTTAACATTATGTACGTTATGTGAAGAATGTATCTTAACCCCAGACCCCCAACTCTTCTTTTTGTACCCCCTATCCCGAAAACGCAAAAATTTCAAAATAAAGAATTTTTTTTTTTTTAAAAAGGTAAAATGGTACACTCACAATAGGAAGTACCCAAAATACCTTTATTGATATAAAATAAACAATATAAAATATCCACAACGCGTTTCACCAAAGTGGCTTTTTACATATGTGGCGAAACCGGCCTCGCCACGTGTCCTTGGAGGGGGCTGCTTGCCCGCCTCCTGCCTTTGGACTATGGACCAGACTTTATGTGAATGTGTTAACCCAGATAGCTTTGCCTTGGAGCCCATCCGTGTAGTTAAAGACTTCGGCTCCATGGCAATTGAACTGTGTGAATAGGATCTGAGCGCTATTCGGTAGTTTTGTGCGCTCAGATCCCAGCTATCTGGGGATATGTGACATGTCTGTGTTTTATGTATAAAATGTGACTTTGTGTATTTTATAATATTTTAATGCTTTGTGCTCACCATGTGCATAATGGAGTCTTGTGTCTGTCCTGAGAGACAATTTAATTACTTCTCAATTCAATCTCCAGGATAGAAGACTCTGAAACTGGTTTGGGCCGGAAAGCCATGCTTCATTTAGTCACAAAGGACTTTCCCTTAACTTTTGAACCCCTGGTCTGATTCGTGCCATTTTTTTATATGTTGTTCCCCTGAATGGATTGATTATGAAAATGTATGTTTTATGTTTGTGACATGTATATTTTAGAAGTTATAAATATTGTGTAAAAACTGTATTCCTCTGCCGGTGATAATGAGATTACCCATTGTGTTCGGTAATCATATCACAGGCAGAGGGGAGGAGTTTGTGTGGGAGTGTCTGGGTGTATTGTACGGATTGATTGGTTGTTTTTAACGCCCTGTGGGCTGTACTATGTTTGTGGATTGGGAATAAAAGAGACTGTATGTGACAGTACAGGGAGTTCCTGCTTAACCCTCAAAGTGAAGTGTCGTCTCATTATTGGGGGAGGATTTATTGTATGCTGTTCCAGTTTGACTGCTAGGAGTGTAAACCTATTTGCATGGTTTTTCCTATTCGGCTGTATACAACATTCATATGCTTGAGAGCATTCATATGCTCCTACGTTTCGGTGGTTTTGGTGTCTGCTGCAGTGCTTGGAGTCCTCAGGAAGCGCTAGGAGCATCCTTCAACGGAGGTACCCAGTCGGGGTGCCAGGTGATCCGTTACAACATACATGTTGCCTTTTTGGTATTGTACATTTGATACGTGCCACTGTCCTAAAATCCCACAAATTCTGCTCAATTACACTTTCTGAGTAAAACAATATGCCCATTATATGACCTAGACACTATTTTGTGAAGTCACTGTGCTGTAAAAGAGATTGACAATTCCATGTTTTTAAGTGTGTATTTTCATAGTTGGTTTTGATGGGTCACTTTTTTCGCTAGCTTGTACCAAGTGTAGTGGTAATAAGCATTGTTTCAGCGTTTTTGACACACCTTGACACACCTTGAGTTTGTGTTGTATATTTTGCAAATGCCTTGTGTTACAGCAGTATAATACTTCATATTCGGGATGCAGCAAAAAATGGGCCTATCACACACTATGGGACCGGAGGGGGGGGAGAGAAGAACACTATGGGACCGGAGGGGGGGGAGAGAAGAACACTATGGGACCGGAGGGGGGGGAGAGAAGAACACTATGGGACTGGAGGGGGGGGGGGGAAGAGAAGGAAAAAAAATTTAAATAAAGTTAAATCCCACCCCCCTTTCCCCTGCTTTAATAAAATTACATTTTAATGTCATCTGAAGGGATAGTGAGCTGAAACGCTTCACCTCACTTCAGCACAGCACTATGCACTTGAAGGGATTTGTTTTTTATTTTCATTTTTCCTTTCTTCTAGTTGTTAGTCTCGTTTATGTATATAGTTTAAGCATGATCTAGTACTTCATTGAGGGTTGATGTAGACACCGGGTTTAATAGCAGCTTTAGCACAGAACACCCACGAAGGTGTTTAGAGGAGTCTATAGGGAACTAGGTTAGCGGTGTCTACAGCAGCCGCTCTGCACATTAGTAGCAGCCTTTGTTTGCTGGACCTTTAGATCACGATACTTACCGGTTTCCCTCCTATTAGTAAGCTCTATTCCCGGCGTCTCAGATTGGATTGACGATTGTGTCTATTCAGGATCCCGCTCATATATCGATCAGGGTATCCCGTTATCTGTTATTGGTCCTCCCTCTTCTCTATTCTCCCTCCCCCCCCCCTTTTTGGTTAGTCTGGGGTGTCTATGTGTACAACGCTAAGCTCCCACATTAGTGTGGATTGCCATTAAATTCACTCCCATTTTAGGTGACATGGGGGGAATATAGACTGTGTCTTATTAGCCACTAGTTATATTGTCATTACAGTATCTTTTGGGCATTACGAGGTTAATAAAGCTTTTTTTGCTCCTATATTTATGTCATGTCAAAAGCATGAGTTGGTGTTTGATGTGTGTTTATATATGTTAAGAGTAGTTTTTTTGTAAACCTTGGGATGACATTTATTGTGGTCTTTGATCTTGCACCAGGCCTAGACCATAAAACATCTAGATAGCCATCACCAGAGCTGGACACAAGGAATTTCATAGAGTGGGCAATAGACTGCCAGACCAGCCCCCTCTGATCCCCCCCAGGGGTCTGCCCACTGAGAAACAACTAGTTTAGCTATATGAGGGTGTTGGACTATCCAGGGAAGTCAGTTATTCATTTTTCTTTTGTCAGTAACTTCTAGGAGACCTATACCATCTAAGACTCCCACAAGAATTCTATATGGGGTAAATATATGTAAGGAATTTCTTGTGTTTTCTCCTATTTTATTTTATGTACTGTTTTGCAATTTGTTATCTGTATGTCATTTATTTCTGTATTTTGTACTCAGCACTGTGAATCCTTTTGTCAGATTAAATGTTTACTTAATCAGCTTGTGTCTCTGTTCTCTATGAGCTTCACTCTCCAGAGGAAAGCTCAGGTAAACACGTTACCAAAAAGGGTTAACTATATATGTTTTATCAGTAAAAGTAGAACTGTGATACTATAATTCTCCTGTGTGTGGGGTAACCTAAGACGCCCGGGTTTAAAAGTCTTGGTGGTGGCAGTCAAGTGTACTAAGGGAGTTAGTGTAGAAGGGATTGCAGGGGTTAATTGAGTGGTTGCTGGGACTAGCAACAGGTAACCAGGGGTCTGGTGTCATTAACCCTGTCACTTCCACACTCTCCCCACTGTCTCGGCTGGGCCTATAGCCCACGCACGTGACAAACTGGCGGCAGCTAGTGGGATATATTTAGAGATTTTTAGTGCTTGCTAGATTTTACCTGTAAAGGGGGTCTTAGCACTAAAAGAAATTGCATACTTGTTTTTGTGTAATTTCCAAAGACCAAGCTCAGTGCTGATTTAAAATACATACAAAGTGCAAAACAGTTCTCCCCTCCCATCTTTTGTTTTTCTTTCTCTATCCTATTTGTGAATATGGAGGCCTATCGCAAACAATCAAAAGAGGCCTTGGAATTGTTGTGCCAAGAAAAGAATTTACCAACTTTTGGCAAAAATAAGGCACAACTTATTGCTGACCTTGTGGAGGCTGACAGCCATATTTTCCAGCCAGAGACGGACACTGAAAGGGTTACCGAGCTCCCTACTACTGCAGGAGTGTTGCTTACTGAAATGCCTGGTGGTTGTACCCCTCAAAACATTAAGGACATTTGCTCAACTGATTTATTTCGGCAACTGATGGCTGCAAATCCTCAGGAGGCCCTGCATGTGATGATCCAACAGCAGGCTGCAGAAAGGGAATCTGCAGAGAGGCTAGCCGAAAGGGAGGCACAAAGGAGACATGAGCTGGAACTTGCTAAACTGCAATTTACCCTTCAGTCCTCACTGAACAGCAATGCATCAGAGTCCAGCACACGTAGGCTCCGTAAGGATGATTTTCCTTCCCTCGAAGAAGGGACAGATTTGGATGTATTTTTTAAAAGTTTTGAGAAAGTATGCAGGCAGCATCAACTACCCTCAGACCAGTGGGGCAGATATTTAACTCCACAACTGAAAGGGAAAGCCTTGGATGTGTTTGTGTCCCTTCCCCCAGAGACTGATAACAACTATGAGGCAATCAAATCTGCATTGCAAAAAACTTTTAACCTTACTCCTGAGTCTTACAGGAAAAAGTTTAGGAGTATGCAGCAATGCCCATCATCCAGCTGCATTCTATATGTTGCACAATTAGAAACCACGTTCCGGCAATGGGTAACAGGAGTACAAGCTACTACCTATGAAGCCCTTAATGACTTAATGGTCCTGGAGCAGTTCTTGCAGACCCGGAGCCCTAATGTACGAGAGTGGATTTTGGAAAGAAAGCCAAAAAATGCTAGGGCTGCTGCAGAACTGGCAGATGACTATGCCGACATCCATGCACCCACATCCAGGCGTGGACTTGTGTCAGCTGCTACTTCGACCTGGAGAGAAGCTACAGTTCAAACACCACCTGTAAGATCTGCAGTGAGAACTTCACCGCCGACTGCCAGCGTAGCCGGGGCTATGTCAAGTGAGTCAGATGCCCGCCGTTGTTTTCGATGCAACCAGATTGGTCATCTGAGCAGGACTTGCCCCACTAGGAATATGCCCTCAACAGTCCGTGGAGGGGCACCATCAGTATTGCTTGTGGGTGGGTCCGTGGGGAAACGAGAGGATAACCTGCAGAGTGTAATTGTGGGTGACCGAGTGACCATCGACTGAGAGATTCTGGAGCTTCCTTCACCCTGGTGTGCCCTGAAGTGGTGAATACGGAGGACATAATCCCTGGAAGAACCATGTCCATCAAAGGAATTGGGGGTGTGCGTCCCGCTGTGCCCTTGGCACGTGTGTACCTGGATTGGGGTGCGGGCAAAGGTTTGCGGGAAGTGGGGATTTCAGAGGATATCCCTGTTAATGTTCTGTTGGGGAATGATTTGGGCAGGATGCTCTGTCACTATGCTCCAGCGGACACTGTTTGTAAGCCAGAAGGGCTGACTGCTCCACCTAAGGTATTGTGTGAAACTTTGGGAGACATTGTGAAGTGTGATTGCTGGGAGGGAGAGCAGGGTGTGGATAAATATCTACCTGTAACTGAACCAGTGATGTCTACCAAATGTGAGATAGGGGTGAGTAGTGATGTGCCTGTATTAAAATACTGTGAGGCTGGGATGTCAGAGAGTAAGGGGGAGGAGGAAGGTGAGAGCCAGGGATGTGTACCACTAGTCGCAGTGGTAACAAGTCAGCAGTGGGTCACGGCTGCAGAGTCTGAGGGGCTATGTGAGATTGCGAGAGGATGGCCTGCCTTGGAGAAGAAATTATGTGAGTGTGTGCAAAATTCTGTATCTGATCAAGGGGGGTCAAATGTGTCCTGTGAAAATGTATGTGATGTGGTGGGTGAAAATGTGAAGGGACAGCAAGGCTATGAGGGAGGGCAGAGGGTGTGTGAGCTTTACTCTGCGCCAGACTTAGCCAGTTTCCAAAGTTCTGTATGTCTGATGACCTGGAGTGAAAGTGAGGGGCAAGGACAGACTCAGCCTGTGGGTCCAGGAAGGATGGCTGCAGGGAAACATACTGTTGGGGGAACCAGGAACCTTGTCAGTTTATCACAACTCACACATACACCTAAGCAACTTTCTGATTGTGAACCAAAGGTTCAGAGTCTGATAGTGCAACAAGCCCAGCAGACAGACTGCAAAATGAAAGAGATGATGGGTGTTGATACAGCACATCTATCCTGGGAGTGTTCTCTGTCTGCTTTTTTGTGTGCTTACCGGGGAGTGCTGCAGAAATCCATTGGTTTCTTCCCCTTACAGCTACTACATGAGCGCAGTGGGTGTGGTTTAAGGGATGTTACCAGAGATCGATGGGAAATTGAAACAGGCAAATCAGGCATGTTTGTTGAGGGTGTAGCTGTGGTTTGGACTGATCACAACCTGCTGCAGGTGACAGGTAACACTGATAAACTGCTCCATTGGAGCCCTATCCTCCAACAGTATAATTTCACTGCCCAACACAAAAAGGGCAGATGGCCTGTCTCGGCAACTAGAGGGTTAATGGTAGACAGATAAATCAGCCTGTGGCTGAATTTTTCTGTCCACCATCTTAAGGGGGAGGTGTCATGCCAAAAGCATGAGTTGGTGTTTGATGTGTGTTTATATATGTTAAGAGTAGTTTTTTTGTAAACCTTGGGATGACATTTATTGTGGTCTTTGATCTTGCACCAGGCCTAGACCATAAAACATCTAGATAGCCATCACCAGAGCTGGACACAAGGAATTTCATAGAGTGGGCAATAGACTGCCAGACCAGCCCCCTCTGATCCCCCCCCAGGGGTCTGCCCACTGAGAAACAACTAGTTTAGCTATATGAGGGTGTTGGACTATCCAGGGAAGTCAGTTATTCATTTTTCTTTTGTCAGTAACTTCTAGGAGACCTATACCATCTAAGACTCCCACAAGAATTCTATATGGGGTAAATATATGTAAGGAATTTCTTGTGTTTTCTCCTATTTTATTTTATGTACTGTTTTGCAATTTATCTGTATGTCATTTATTTCTGTATTTTGTACTCAGCACTGTGAATCCTTTTTGTCAGATTAAATGTTTACTTAATCAGCTTGTGTCTCTGTTCTCTATGAGCTTCACTCTCCAGAGGAAAGCTCAGGTAAACACGTTACCAAAAAGGGTTAACTATATATGTTTTATCAGTAAAAGTAGAACAGTGATACTATAATTCTCCTGTGTGTGGGGTAACCTAAGACGCCCAGGTTTAAAAGTCTTGGTGGTGGCAGTCAAGTGTACTAAGGGAGTTAGTGTAGAAGGGATTGCAGGGGTTAATTGAGTGGTTGCTGGGACTAGCAACAGGTAACCAGGGGTCTGGTGTCATTAACCCTGTCACTTCCACACTCTCCCCACTGTCTCGGCTGGGCCTATAGCCCACGCTCGTGACAATTTATTTCTGCCCTAAGATACTTTTGGACTTACTAGAGACACTAGAGTTTTCACTGCTTACACTTTATATACTTTCCAAGTTTTTTTGAGAAACATCGTATCAATGGTGTATATATTCTTTATACCAGCTATCTGGAGGACCTCCTAGGGGGTTATCTCTCCTATTTTAGTTTATTTTCGTTTTCCATACACAATACCCGGATACAAGCCCATATTTAGGTGGAGCTGGTACCACCATCCTGACCTATTTTCCTAATCCTCATTCCAATTTTTTGGTTGGCTGGGGAGATAGGAAAACTATTTCGCTTTCTTTCTTAATTTACAAGAATGCCGGGGATTCCTTAACCAAATAAAGTATCATTTTGAGGCCTCACCGGGATCTTTTCCCACAGACAGAGCTAAAATTGGTTACCTGATTAATCAATTAAAAGGTAAAGCTTTAGCTTGGGCCAATCCATTATGGGAGAGTAATAGGAGTGTGGCACACAACTACCAGGAGTTTATTATGGAATTTAAACTTAAGTTTTAACCATTAGGCAGGGAGGAAGACGCCTGTACTGCCCTGATGCATATCAGACAAGGGAACCGCTCTATCGCGGAGTATGCCATAGAATTTCGTACCCTAGCTTCCAAGGTAGACTGGACTAATAGTGGGTTAATCTCTGCATTTAAAAAGGGACTATCTGAAACTATGCTAGATGAGATTGCCACCAAAGACTTACCCAAAAAGCTTAATGAATTTATCACTCATGCAAATTGATAATAGATTGAGAACCAGAGAAGCTACTAGAAACAAGACCAGACACATGAAAATGCCTTTAGCAGCCCACTTTTCCAAACCTATTGTCCCTGAATTTCCTGTACAGTCCGAACCCATGGCGTTGGGGGTCACTAGACTGTCGGAAGCAGAAAGACAATATAGGAGAAAAGAAGGCCTATGTCTATACTGCGGTAGAAAAGGACACATGAAAAACAATTGTCCCATACGTCCGGAAAACTACAGCAACTTAAGGGTACAGGTCTTAGGTGTAATGGAAACGTCCTCTGGAATGGATAAAAATAGGTTTCTCCTTGATATTTCTATTGCTTTTGAAAAGAAGAACTTTTCATGCAAAGCCCTGGTGGATTCAGGTGCCGCTGGAAACTTCGACGTTCAATTTGTTAAAGGTAATACTATACCTATCAAGGAGAGACTATCACCCCTAGCTGTTGAAGCTATTGATGGGCGACCACTCTCACAACCATTGATTACACACGAAACCTTACCCATTAATTTGTCCATTGGTGCCTTACATAAGGAAGAGATTACATTTCATGTTATTGCTATTAGGCTTTCCATGACTTAACAAGCATAACCCTCATATTGACTGGGCAAATGGGGAAATATTAGAATGGGGTAAGGATGGTTATGAAAGGTGTATATTGAATGTTGCCAAAAGAGTGGGCACTATTGGATTACCCACTAGTATACCTCAAAACCTGGAAATCCCTAAACAGTACCAAGACATTAAAGAAGTATTCAGCAAAACTCAAATACTCTAGCTCCTCACAGACCTTATAACTGTTCCATTAATTTACTACCCGGCACTATGCCACCTAAGGGAGCAGTCTATGCTCTGTTACCTCAGGAGAGTAGAGTAATGGAGGAGTATATTAATTATTCATTAAATAAAGGCCACATACGAAAATCATCCTCGCCTGCTGGGGCAGGATTCTTTTTTTGTATCCAAAAAGGACGGTGAGTTGCGCCCATGTATCGATTACATGGCATTGAACAAAATCACCATTAAGAACGCCTACCCCATTCCTCTTATTACTGAATTATTTGGTAGACTCCAAGGTGCTAAAGTATTTACTAAGCTTGATCTTAGAAGTGCTTACAATTTAGTGAGAATCAAGGAAAACTACGAGTGGAAGACTGCATTTAATACCAGAAGTGGACACTATGAATATCTAGTGATGCCATTCGGGTTGTGCAATGCTCCAGCGGTTTTCCAAGATTTCATAAATGATGTACTCAGGGATTACATTTACTCGTTTTTCTTGGTCTATCTGGATGATATCCTTATTTATTCTCCTGACATTGACTCACCACGATCACGTTAGACAAGTTCTACAGACCTTGTTAAAGAATCAACTTCATTGTAAATTAGAAAAATGGATCTTTGACCAATCTGAAGTACAGTTTTTGGGATATAATATCTCTGCCTCAGGCTTTATTTCTGATGCCTTAAAGGTAGGCAGACAATGTAATAGAGCAGCAGGAAATGCTAGCAGAATGCTTGGTTGTATAGGGAGAGGTATAAACAGTAGAAAGAGGGAAGTGCTCATGCCATTGTACAGAACACTGGTGAGACCTCACTTGGAGTATTGTACACAGTACTGGAGACCGTATCTTCAGAAGGATATTGATACCTTAGAGAGGGTTCAGAGAAGGGCTACTAAACTGGTTCATGGATTGCGGGATAAAACTTACCAGGAAAGGTTAAAGGATCTTAACATGTATAGCTTGGAGGAAAGACGAGACAGGGGGGATATGATAGAAACATTTAAATATATAAAGGGAATCAACACAGTAAAGCAGGAGACTATATTTAAAAGAAGAAAAACTACCACAACAAGAGGACATAGTCTTAAATTAGAGGGACAAAGGTTTAAAAATAATATCAGGAAGTATTACTTTACTGAGAGGGTAGTGGATGCATGGAATAGCCTTCCAGCTGAAGTGGTAGAGGTTAACACAGTAAAGGAGTTTAAGCATGCGTGGGATAGGCATAAGGCTATCCTAACTATAAGATAAGGCTAGGGACTAATGAAAGTATTTTGAAAATTGGGCAGACTAGATGGGCCGAATGGTTCTTATCTTCCGTCACATTCTATGTTTCAGATGGATCCTAAAAAGCTGGAATCGGTTCTACAATGGCCTTTACCCACTGGGTTGAAAGCCATTCAAAGGTTCATTGGTTTTACCAATTATTACAGAAGGTTTATAAAGGGATTTTCTTCAGTAATAGCCCCCATCTCCAATATGACACGCAAAGGGGTTAGCAGTACGATATGGTCTAAGCCTTTGAAACTCTCAAACAGCAGTTTGCCTCCGCCGACATATTGATACATCCTGACACCAGTAAACCTTTCATACTGGAAGTTGATGCATCAGAGACAGGGGTAGGGGCAGTTCTCTCCCAGAGGGAGAGCCAGGATACTCCATTGCATCCTTGTGGTTACTTCTCTAGAAAGTTGTCTCCTGCCGAGCGCAATTATGATATTGGCAATAGGGAATTGTTGGCCATTATTCTAGCTCTCAAGGAGTGGCAACATCTTTTAGAGTGTTCCAAGGACCCCCTTTTGAAAATTACTGGTCACAAAAACCTGCCTTACATAGGAGATGCTAAACGATTGTCTTCTAGACAAGCTAGGTGGTCTCTGTTCCTTTCTCGCTTTAATTTTCTTATTACATATAGACCTGGTTCTAAAAATGTCAAGGCTGATGCCTTATCCAGACAGTTTGATACTGAGTCTATACAAGAGCAAGAAAAGTCCCATATCATTCCGCCAGAATGTATCATTGCCTCCACAACCCTTTCATTGTCCTCTCCGCTGCTTGGCTCTGTCATGGAGGCTCAGTCTCAGGCGCCCTGCGGTAAACCTCAGGACAAATTGTTCGTTCCAAAGGGTTAATATCATGAAGGTGTTTCATGACAATGTGTCTGCTGGTCACCCAGGTATTAATAAATCCACTTCTGCTATCATGAGGCAATTCTGGTGGGATTCCCTCAGGAAGCATGTTAAGGAGTATGTGCAGGCTTGTTCTGTTTGTGCGGTTTCCAAAAGTACCTCATAAACTCCCTTGTGGCTTGTTACAACCTCTTCCCGTTCCTGAGGTCCCATGGACCCACTTGTCTATGGATTTCATTGTAGTACTTCCTAGTTCTAATGGTTATACCACTATTCTCATGGTTGTTGACCGTTTTTCTAAAATGGCTCACTTCATCCCTCTCAAGAAATTACCGTCATCTCAAGACTTGGTACTGATCTTTATACGTGAGATTGTCCGTCTGCATGGCATTCCTCACAATATTGTATCTGATAGAGGTTCTCAGTTTGTATCCAGGTTTTCTCGGGGCACTTTACAGTACTTGGTGGATTGGAAAGGTTATGGACCAGCCGATCGTTCTTGGGCTCCGGCATCTGATATACATGCTGGCCGCAAGATTCGCTATTTTCACGCCAAATTTCCTCTCAAGCCTGGTCCTGCCTGCCCGGTGGGTGTTGTTTAGGTGGGGGGTAATGTCACGTATTCATCCGCTTATAAAAATGTGGTTCATGACATTTACTGTCCACACAGGAAAAGTTGTGCCGAGCAGCAACCAAATCCACAGAAAGGTTAATGCTGAGCAGCAATTATGCAAATGGGAACCTGGTAACTGACTTTGGGGTCAAAGGCCGGTTACAGCCTATCAGATCTAAAGGAGGGGTATTTAGGCCCAGTTCTCATCCTGCTCAGTGCCCTGTCGTGGTTTCCCTTGTGGTTGTCCGAGAGCGCGTTATTGATTTTGGTTATTCTGGTTATTTGACTTTGGCATTGTTTTTAACTTCCCTGTTTTCTGGCATCATTGACTCCTGGCTTTTCCTTATCGTTGTGTCTCTTTCTGTTTCCCTCGGCTATTCCTGACTATTCTTTGGTACGTTAGTCCGGCCATTCTAAGGTCCGGTATACGTTACCTATCAGTCCTCTGTGTTGTACAATTCTACGTGCTGGGTCATTCTGTAATCCTGACAAAAATACTCTAAAATGGGACATGGACACAGCATAAAAATTCAAAGTTTGAAAAAAAACTGGAATGGCTGTGTCCCAAATGTGCCCCTTCAATGTCCACATATACCTGGCAAAGGTACATACGAGGGTATTGCTGTACTCAGCCGACATAAATGAGCAACATATGAAGTAGTATACAGTCGTAGCACACATAAGGTTGCAAAATATACTGCGCAAACTCCCTTTGTGTGTCAAAAAGGCAGAAAAAATGCTTATTACCACAACACTTGGTACAAGCTAGTGGAAAAATGATCCCACGCTAAGGTTCAAAATAGGCCTTTTGAAATACCCTGGGATGTCTTCTTTAAGAAATGGTATGGCATTATGGGGTATTTGGATTATATAGCCTGGTAAATACTCTAAAATGGGGCACAGTGTAAAAATTTAAAGTTTGAAAAGAACTGGAATGGCTGTGTCCCAAATGTGCCCCTCCGATGTCCACATATACCTGGCAAAGGTACATATGGGGGTATTGCTGTACTCAGCCAACATAGCTGAGCAACATATGAAGTATTATACACTGGTAGCACACATAAGGTTTGCAAAATACTGTGCAAACTCACTTCGTTTGTCAAAAAGGCAAAAAAACGCTTAATACCACTCCATTTGGTACAAGAGAGCGGAAAAATTATCCCACGCTAAGGTTCAAAATACGCCTTTTGAAATACCCTGGGATGTGTTCTTTAAGAAATGGTATGCATTTATGGTGCAGTTGTAGTATGTAGCCTGCTCAAGTGCTCCAGAGTGGAACACGGATGCATCAAACCTCTCCATGCATCAAAACCTGAACTTGTCACGTCTCTTTTACAGCACTGTAACTTCACAAAATAGTGTCTAGGTCATACATTGGGCATATTGTTTTACTCAGAAGACTCAGCTGAGCATAATTTGGGGGGTTTGAACTTGGTGAACTTGAAATTATTTTTTACCACATACTTTGGCATATATTGGTGAAAAAATGGGTGCGTGTTAAAGCACAATATGCACCGTATATGAGATACCCTGGAGTGTCTACTTTTACAAATGGTAGGCCTTTGTGGGTTTTTTTGAACAGTCAAACTGCTATAATACCCCAAATTGAAGCATAGGCCCATTAAATTCGTCACTCAAAATTCTACTGTAAATGTTGAAACGCACAGGTATCCTATATGGCACTGTAGCTCCACGAAATAGTGCCAAAGACATACAATGGGGGTGTCATTTTACTCAGCAGATGTAACTGAACACAAAATAAAGTTTTGTACAGGAACAGCACACACCAAACTTTACAAAATACACATGAGAAGTTCTTTGTTATAGGTTTGTGTGCCAAAAACCCCCAAAAACAAAATTTTACTCCAATATTTAGCAGAGCTTGGCGGTGAAATGGCTACGTAGTAAGTGTCAGAACAACCTTAGGACAATAGCCTGTGATGTCTACTTTATATAAATATATACTTTTGTGTGTTACATCAAATTAAAGCCCTTTCTGTCCTTTAAAAAAACAGTATATAATATGTGTCGGTGCAATAAACGAGAGAGATGCAAATTGCAGTTGATGCAAACAGCAAGAAAATGCAAAAAATTGCTTGTGTCATTAAGCGTAAGACGTGGTTCTGAAGCTGTGTCCTTAAGGGGTTAATGGGAAATAAAATAAGCTCAAACAATTCAGAGGATATGCAGTTAAGATAAATAAAACTATTAAGAGCTAGTGTGGTTATAATTGAAGTTGGGTACTCATGAAGTTACTCCACTATATATTACTTGGCGCCATGCTCCATTGGTAACAAGATACCCCCGCCTGTCTTCATTTATTTAAAATGTAAAACTTGTGTGCAGTTAGTTTCCATTGGTGGTCTGCTATAGAAGAAACATGACTCCTGCCTGTTTGAAGACTTGAATGAGTGTTTGCTCTGCTAGCTTGTTCTATAACTTCCCAAAAATCTGTCAAACCGGAGTGTAGGATATGTCATTGTGCTGTGACGATAGGGCTGGACACACATTAGGATCTTTTTTATATTGCACTGGCATACACCCTGTATACAGTATTCACAGCCACACATAGATGAATAGAGATGGAAGAATCATTCCTCGAAAGGCATTTATGCTGAAAAAAGGAATTTATTTTCAAGGCATTCTAATTCCAGCGAGAGTGTGAGTGGCCATTTGTGAATTATACACCTGGTTTATTCATATACACAGTTATACGCTATGTATTGTTCTTGTTATTGATTTAGCAGATTATCCCCTATTTTTCTGTATACATTCTATTGACGACAAGAGGAAGTCGTCTGGGAAGTCCTACCTGGTTCAGGGAGGTTTTTTTCTGCTATTTATCTATCGAGCACTTATTGCACTGTGGTTTGTGCACACATATATTGTTTTTTGTATCCACAGCCACAATATAGTGTTTGTGTGGAAAATAAAACATGAAACCATTACAAATAAGATGTAACTTTGTGACTGGGCTAATAAAATGGATGCATAAAAACAAAATACCTCATGTGAAACACACTGGTGCCACACTCTAAAGGTAGCAGTTTGGGTGCGTAGAACTTGTCTCTGCAGTCTCGCAATTGGAAACCATTTATCTGAGAAATTCTATGTTTACATTTACGCCTCAAGTGGTGGTCAAGCACAATGACTACTTGAGTTATTTCAAGTGGTCATGGTGTCCCCTACTGGGGTCTGTAAGTGTGATGTATTGCCGAGAAACGCTGCGCATACCAAGTTTAATCCCTAGCTGCTGCTGGTTTAACTCCATCTCCATCAGCGTCATTGGAGCATCATCTGCCAGCCAAAAACAAGCACATTTTCATGCATTGTGCCATCCATTGGCTGAGAGTGGTCGGCTGATGCTCTCATCCAGTAAATGCCGACCAGATCATCTTTCAGGTTCTGCAGCTGTGCTGAAGCACATCACTGGAGAGGAAAGGAGCCTCAGACCCCAGTAGGGACCCTGAATGGTTCCAGGGAACCAGGCCATGTCTGTAGTGAGTCTTTTTAAGACTTGAACTAATTTAATCAGGATGCCCTCCATTAACTGTAAGCTGTGGTTTTCAAAATTCCTTTTATGGGGGGGCTAAGGGCAAAGAACAATAATATTAAAAATATATTTTTATTAGTTTTCCTTTTAAACATGTACTTTTGTGAAGGGTAATTTTAAGTGAAGAGGGCAGCCACAATGTTATATATGATAATGATGGAACGTGATAAGAGTAAATGATTCAGAAAAGATTCAGTTGTTCAGTTAACATTTCTTTAATCAGAGTATGTATTTAACAAAGAAATGAGGAGGGCGGTAATAGTTATCAATCATACATAAAGTCTTTAATTTCTTCCTAACAGGTGACCCAGAGTCCAAAAACACAACAGAAAATGTGAAACCCAACATGGCTTCACCATGCAGTGAAAATGAAGACAGAACTATAACCAGAAATAATAAAGAAATAACATTTCTAGAAATGGGTAAGAGAAGAAAAAGGCAGAAAAAATGTGTGAAAAATTCAAATGAGGAATCAAGCTCATGTGAAGAAAATCTCACCAACACCACCTGTAATAAATCACTGGAACATAAACCAGCAGTATATCATACCCAGAGGGGAGAAGACACTAATGCACCCCAAGTACATACAGAGACCACGTATATATCCCCTCGTGCTAGAGACCAGCTGTCCTCAGAAGTGAAGCAAAATGACAGTTACATGCCCACGGAATTGAGACAGATAACACAAGTGTCAAGGTGTGCTAAAGAGGAATCGACTTGCGATGAACAAATGGTCATTGACACGTACGCACCCACACCACGTACACGGACAACTTATGTATCTAGTCATCTTGAGGAGGAATCCGCTTCATGTCATGTACAAAATGTCATTAACATTGACACATGCGTGTCTTCAGCACATTCTCCAAGATCACATATGTCAGGTCATGCTAGAGAGAAATCCACCTCACTTGCTGAAGAAAATGTCATTGACATAGACAGTTATGTACCTGCTGAGCGCACACAGAGAAATTATGTAACTGCTATTATTAAAGAAGAATCTAACTCGTGTGAAGAACTGATTTTTGGTCGCACTAATTGCTGTACACCACCAGATCATCATCATCGAAACGTAAAACACACCTATGGTCATCCTAAGAATGAGCCAGCCTTGTGTGAAGAAGGAAATCTTTCAGATGCTGAAATTTATAGAGTGCGAGAACATGTTCAGGAAGAATATACATCTGTTTATATAAAGGAGGAATCTGCTTCATGTGATGAAGGAAACCTTACGGACACTGACATTTACACCTTCCCTGAACAACGAGGATATACACCTACTCATAGCATTGGAAACCACAAAGTCAAACGAAATCGACCAAAACCAAATAACTCATTTTTATTAAAGTACAAAGAATTTGATGGCCAATTCAATAAGTCACCATCCACGTCTTATGACTTAATGCACTCCACAGATATGATATACGAGTGCCCTATGTGCCAGGAATGTTTTACTAACTATTCTGATTTTGTAAAACATCAGACTGTGCACAAAGTAAGGAAACTGCCAGCAATAGACTACGGAAATTACATTTGCTACGAGTCCGACTTTGTGAGAGATCAAAGTATTAATAGTGAAGACAAGACCTTTATTTGCACTGATTGCGGGAAGTATTTTCGCTCAAAGTCTGACCTGCATAAACACCAGAGAATTCATACAGGGGAAAAGCCATATGTATGTTCTTACTGCGGGAAGTGTTTCACTAAGAATTCCCACCTAGTTAGACACCAGAGGATCCACACAGGAGAGAAACCCTTTGCTTGTTCTGACTGTGGGAAAGGGTTTACCAATAAATCAAATCTTATTACGCATCAGAGAATTCACACTGGAGAGAAACCCTACTCGTGTGTTGTGTGCGGTAAATGCTTTGGAGGAAAAAGCGATCTGAATCGACACATTAAAATTCACTCTGGTGAGAAACCATTCATATGTTTTGAATGTGGCAATTCTTTTGGACGTAAAACACAACTGAACAGTCACCTGAAAACACACATCCGGGAGAAAGCAATCACTTTTTAATACTTCAGGGAGAAGTTTAAATGTATAATAATAATAATAAAAAAAGTTACATGTAATTGTTTCAAGAACATATTGCTCCTTTTCTTTTTATTAAAGAGGTTTGCGAGCTATATGTACTCATTTACGTTACATACATTAAATAATTTTTAACGAGCCACTAATCTTAAGCAACTTTTTATATTCTAAATGATTAGACAAAGTGGTTACAGGTTTTATTAGAGAATTAATTTACACTATGTGTTTTTCCTAGTTAATTCAGTAATTGGCAGATTTTTGTTTGAACCTTTCTGGGGCATATTCGGGGTATCTGTGTTTTGAAGGGATTATTTAACAGCGATCTGCTAAGCTATTTTCTTCCACCTTCTTTTTATGCAGAAAATGTTATAATGCTTGCTATGTAACTTTCAGTGCTTAGAGGGAGCATGGCTGGGAAAACTGCATAAATGGTTTCCTTACTTTTTAAAATTGTTTAATTTTTGTTTGTTTTTCCCTGATGGCATTGGTATTGTTTTACATGTAAAAGAAAAGGGTTTTTTTTTTTTGTTTTGTTCTATGCTGGTTTTATTTTTCTCTGTAAGGTTCCTTTTTGTACCGTATGTTTGTGTACAAAGCAAACATACTCGAACACATGGGCTCTTGTCTAATTTCACTAATTTATAAATGGTACTTCAGTTATTGTGTATATTATTCTGTTGCTTATGTACAATACTCTAAGCTGAAACCTGCTGATCCACATGTATATTCATTGTAAGTCTTCTGGGATCAACAGGATCCATCTTTGTTTTGCTCATCGTACATGTCATATTTGCTCCAGAAGAGAGGACGTAGTGAACCACAATGTCTAAACTTTGTCATGGATTCTTCACAAGTGTGAGATCGAGTCTTACTTGGCTCTTGGACATTCACCTGTTTGTTGTTGAGCTGGTCTTTTGAGTTTGGAAGAAATCTCCCCCTCCCAGGGTTCTGTTTGTAGTGAGGCAGATAGGATGCATGTAGGACACCAGCTAAGAAATCAAACTGTTCAAAACAGTTTGCTTACAATGGAGGGGCGTCCGGGCACTCCTGACACCATAGCTACACCAGTGAGCTGTAGCGGTTATGGCTCTTGCAGAGTTCTTTTAACAATGCCTGGGAATGCAGAAGTACAAAATGGAGGCCTGGTAGAGGAATTCACTTCTCTACAGAGCGAAAACCAGCGTTGGAGTGACTAAGAGGTGTAATGGGGCTTAACAGACAATACAAATTGAAAGTTAGCACAGGCATATTCTCTGCAGGTCTGAAACAAGTGCGAAAAAGCAAGATTGTTTTGAAAAATAGAAATGTTTATAAATTATTTTCAGTTAGCAAAATGTAAGAGAAGTTAGCAAATGAGCAACATTGGATTGTACAAAATGCCGATGAGGTCAGACTGCCTCTGTGACATTGTGAGAGGCGGTGAGGACTGACAAGGTAAGTCAAACTTTCATTTTATTATTACTAACGACAGGGACTCTAGAGCACTAGGAATCCTTAAATGATTGATTCAACCTACATATTAAATCGATGATCGTTAGCACTGGTTCGATCGTGCACCTGTCAATATGTCAACAAAGTCCCTGAATTTGTGTGTACCTAAAAGAATTGATACTATTTTCAAGTCAAAGTGTGGTCAAATCAAATAATTTTCTTCTGATCACTCACTTTGCATATTGTTAACTGATTTAAAAAAAAAGTTCTATTTTTTTTAAAAAGTATTCTTACTGTACTGCATTTTTAAGACCTGCCTAGAACGTTTGCACAGCAGTGTGTATGATAATCTCTAATTTGTATGGTTGAATTGTTCTAGTTTACATTGTAACTGGTGCTAAGGCCAGGAACACGCAGTGGGAGGACATTCTGAGAGCGGATCCTTATTTATGCACACAAGGGTCTCCACTACAATGAGGTGCAGCAGCTGATAGTCTGGGTGACTCATGGATTCCTCCGCAGCACAGGACTATTTGCAATTTTGAGATGTAACGTTGTCTTCCCACAGTGTCACTCTCTTATTCCTCTGTCTCTTCTCAGGGTTTGAGCTAAAACAATTTGGATTAAAATGGCATCAATTTACTTGCACACTGATCAGTATGTTCCAAATTTGTAATCCTTTCATAGAAATTTGCTGGCTTTCTACAATAAACTATACATTTTCATTTAAAAAACAAAAACACTTACTTCCACAGGTCCTTATATTTCATTGATAAAACCAGGTTTTTTAACACTTTTTTAAAATAATTTTTTTGTAGATTTTCTTTTGTTGTACTAATGCCCTTCTCATAGTTTTGCTCCCTTTTTGAGTTGAAAAGTTGGATTTTCTTGAGAAGGCTACACAAACAGCAGTGTGCATTGGGAAGAATTGAAAATTCATTGTCATCACCTTCATTTTACCACTGTATCCTAAAATCCCACAACAAGACAAGCCCACCACACCAATTATAGACTTTGTTTCCATTTACTTATTTTTGTGTATTTTGCATGGACCTAAGTATGTTTTACAGGTAAGTAGATTTCATGTTAATCATGTTTATGCTATATTACTTTTTAAACTGTATTTATCATTTTGCATAAATTCCATTAAATATTGGAGTTACTGTTACATACTGTGTGTGCATGTTTTCATAGCATTATCACCGGCTGCAGGATCTTTAGCAATAAATTCATGCTTTGCAAATCAAGAAGATGATTGAAAAGGATAATCAGGATAATCGCACATCACATTTCTTTTATATTTGCATGGAGTTACTGCAGAAGAAACAACTTGTATGAGATTATAAATCAATCGAGAGGTAAAAGAAAAATACAAATCCAGTATTCTTAGTAGACACGAGATCTTTCTCCTAACTCTGCATTGGTGTGCAGCATTGTGTGAGTTCATACGGGATATTTTAGATTATTGATGATCATTATGGGTACCTGTTATCGGATTTCATTGATCTCCCTTGTTTTGGTTATTGTTGAAAGTTCATCCGTTATCGTTGTTCCCTTTCCAGTTCAGTCCTCAGATACTTATTGCAGAGTTAATAGGTTTAGCCGACCAAGCATTGCTTCTTTCTAGGTGAGGTGACATAGTCCAACAAAATCCCAGGTTTGCCTCCTCATACTCCGTGAAGACCTGAACTGTCAATAATGCTTTGGTGCTCCACCAGATGATAGTAGCTGTCCCCTCGTACACATGATCCCATGACTTGAGACCACTCAGATAAATCTTACTGCTTGCTGAATTAAGTTTGATATGGCAGTGCACTTCCTCCTTATCTTAGAGTGCACTTACTCCCCGACTCGGAGTGCACTTACTCTTTATCTTAGAGTGCATGGCGTTTACTCCCCATCTCGGATTGCGTTTACTCCCCATCTCGGAGTGCGTTTTACTGCCTTATTTCGCAGTGCGTTTTATTGCCTTATATCGGAGGGCCCTTGCTCCGTACCTCGGAGGGCCCTTGGCCCTAAAGGCTGAGCGATTTAGCAGACTCAATTCAGCATTAAGTCCTTATAATATTCTTCAATACCAGTGTTGTGCTGTTTACAGGTATAATTGGATCCCACCATTATGCCCTAGCTAGAACCTGCCGCATCCAGCACTCCTAACATGTACTTAAGGCACAGGTAACAGCTTACTAGTACTAGTATTAATACTTAATATTAAGTGTAATAATTAGTATTAATACTGCAGGTAACAGACTGGCTGAGTGTATTCTCAGATCCCACCAGTAATAATGAGTATTAATACTGCGGGTAACAGGCTGAGAGTGCTCTCATATCCCACCAGTAAAAATGAGTATTAATACTGCGGGTAACAGGCTGAGAGTGCTGTCAGATCCCACCAGTAATAATGAGTATTAATACTGCGGGTAACAGGCTGAGAGTGCTCTCATATCACACCAGTAATAATGAGTATTAATACTGCGGGTAACAGGCTGAGAGTGCTCTCATAACCCACCAGTAATAATGAGTATTAATACTGCGGGTAACAGGCTGAGAGTGCTCTCATAATCCACCAGTAATAATTATTATTAATACTGCGGGTAACAGGCTGAGAGTGCTGTCAGATCCCACCAGTAATAATGAGTATTAATACTGCGGGTAACAGGCTGGCTGAGAGTGCTCTCACAACCCACCAGTAATAATGAGTATTAATACTGCGGGTAACAGGCTGAGAGTGCTGTCAGATCCCACCAGTAATAATGAGTATTAATACTGCGGGTAACAGGCTGTAACGAGAATATACCCCTACACGCAGGATCCAGCTAAACAGAGGCAAATACAGAGGAGAGATACGTCTACCGGACCTTAGAATGGCCGGACTCGACGTATATGAGAGGAGACAGAGCCAGGAACAAACCGAGGTCAAGGGCACAGAGAGACAGCGTAAACTAGGACAAGCCGGGGTCTGGTACACGGAAAACAGCAAGCCGGCAAACAGTACAGATAAGGATAAAGCGAAAACGAAGTCAGAATACGAAGCCAAAGTCAATACGAGAAAACACAACTGAACACCACAAGCGCTAAAGGGAACTGAAACAGAAACCACGATAGGGCAACGAGCTAAGGGAAAAAGGGAAGTTTAAATAGCTTTAAAACAAAAGTGATTGGCTCCTGTCACTTCCACACCCCCTATAGGTAATTGTACAGGGAGTGTGGTATGACAGGAGCCAATGGGAGCCTTTTGGCAATTAGGCTCCCACTGTCTCTTTAAGAGCGCGCCCGAGACTCGCGGCGCGCTCTTAGTTTCAGGCGGGACACGTGACCGCCTCACGCGGTCACTGCCCGCCTTCCATCCAAAGCAGTTGGATGAGCCGCGCGCGGCTCGTGCAGCCGCAGGACCGCGCGCGGCTTGAAGAGAGGACCGCGACCGGCCCCCGGTTAAGGTAAGTAACGCTACAGTACCCCCCCCTGAGGACACGCCCCCCGGGCGGGTAGGACCAGGCCTGGCAGGAAAACGAGAATGGAAAGAGCGCACAAGACGGGGAGCATGGACAGCATCAGCCGAAATCCAACTGTGCTCCTCAGGCCCATAACCCTTCCAATGTACCAAGTACTGAAGTCGACCCCTAAGGAAACGAGAGTCAAGAACAGCAGACACTTCAAACTCCTCATGACCCTCCACCGAGATAGGAGGGGGAGGAGGAGTATGCCGGGTATAGCGGTTGCGTACGAAAGGTTTCAACAATGAGGTGTGAAAAACATTAGGAATACGTAGATTCTTAGGCAGGCCTAAGGCATAAGAAACAGGATTAACCTTATGTATAATACGATAAGGTCCAATGAAGCGGGGAGCCAATTTCATAGAAGGCACCCGGAGACGAATATTCCGCGTGGAAAGCAAAACCCTGTCCCCCACAACATAGGACGGAGCTGCTCTGCGATGCTTGTCAGCCTGAGCCTTCTGGCGAGTAGCAGAGTCCACCAAAGAACGCTGAACCTGCTCCCAAGTATTACGCAAACCAGCCAAATGCTCATCCAGAACTGGCATGCCCTGTGAGGAGAATGCAGCCGGAAGAACAACGGGATGCTGGCCATAGACAACGTAAAAAGGGCTCTTGCTGGAAGAATCATGAGTGGCGTTATTCCGAGCAAATTCAGCCCAAGGAAGCAGGTCAGACCAATTGTCCTGATGGTGAGACACAAAACAACGGAGGTATTGCTCCAGAGACTGGTTGGCACGTTCAGCAGCCCCATTAGACTGGGGATGATAAGCGGAAGAAAATGAGAGAGAAATACCCATTTCTGAACAAAAGGCCCTCCAGAACCTGGAAATAAATTGGCTACCCCTATCGGATACAATAGATACGGGAATCCCATGTAATCGAAATACTTCTCTAGCGAAGATATGAGCCAGTTCCTTGGATGTGGGCAACTTGCGAAGAGACACGAAGTGAGCCATTTTGGAGAACCGATCCACTATCATCAGGATCACTGTGTTACCATTTGAAGGGGGTAATTCAACAATAAAATCCATGGACAGGTTAGACCAAGGTCTCTCGGGAACGGGTAACGGATGCAACAGCCCACAAGGACCTCTACGGGAGGATTTCATACAGGCACAAGTAGTACAAGCACTTATATAGTCAGTGACATCCTTTCGTAAGGAATCCCACCAAAAATACCGAGAAACAGCTGACACCGTTTTGGAAATACCAGGATGTCCAGCAGTCTTAGTATCATGATATAATGACATAATATCCGTCTCTCGGAAACATCAACGAACAGTTTATCATTAGGCCTCTCGCTAGGTGCCATGCTTTGTTTCGCTTGTATGGCCTGCAAGAGGGACGAGGAAATAGACAAAATAGTAGTAGCTATTATCCTGTCTGGGGGAATGACAGGAGTAACATCAATCTCCTGTTTGTCAGTAGTTTCGAACTGTCTGGACAGAGCGTCTGCTTTAGTGTTACGATCACCTGGCCTATAGGTGATAATAAAATTGAAACGGGACAAAAATAGTGACCACCTAGCCTGCCTGGAAGACAATCTTTTGGCTTAGCTAAGGTAGGATAGGTTCTTGTGATCCGTAAAAATGAGGATAGGATCCTTAGTTCCTTCTAACAAATGTCTCCACTCTTTAAGTGCTAAAATAATAGCAAGGAGTTCGCGATTACCCACATCATAATTATTCTCTGCTTTGGACATTTGTTTAGAAAAGAAGCCGCATGGATGCAATGGCTTCTCAGGCGACTCTCTTTGGGATAAGACAGCACCTACCCCAATATCCGAAGCATCAACTTCAAGAATATAGGGCAGTGAGGGGACAGGATGCTGTAAAATAGGTGGAGAGGCGAACGTAGTTTTAAGAAATTCAAAAGCCTGAAGTGCCTCGGTAGACCAAACACCAGTATTGCCATCCTTTTTAGTCATACGGGTAATAGGTGCTACAATGGACGAGAAACCTTTGATAAAACGTCTATAATAATTGGAGAACCCAAGAAAACGCTGAATAGCTTTCAGACCTTGTGGTAGAGGCCATTCTATTACAGCAGCTAGCTTCTGGGGATCCATACGAAAACCTTTAGCGGAAATCAAATACCCCAAGAACTGGACTTCGGTTTGGTCAAACAGACATTTCTCTAGCTTGCAATAAAGACCATTAGCAAGAAGGGTCTTCAAAACTGTCGTAACATGTCTGTGATGAGTGTGTATATCTGTAGAATATATTAAAATGTCGTCCAAGTATTCGATAACAAATGTGTGAATAAAATCTCTCAAGACATCATTAATAAATTCTTGGAATACTGCTGGGGCATTGCAAAGCCCAAATGGCATAACAGTATATTCGTAATGACCGGATCTAGTGTTGAATGCAGTCTTCCATTCGTGATTTTCCTTTATTCGTATCAAATTGTATGCACTCCTAAGGTCTAATTTAGTGAACACAGTGGCATGTTTCAGCCTGTCAAATAATTCTGTAATCAAAGGTATAGGGTATGCATTTTTGATAGTGATTTTGTTTAGAACTCTATAATCTATACACGGTCTTAAATCACCTTCTTTCTTCGATACAAAGAAGAACCCTGCTCCAGCTGGAGAAGAGGATCTCCTAATAAACCCTTTTTCTAGTGATTCCTTGATGTACTCCTCCATGACACGGTTTTCTTGAA